TGCATCGACTCATTGACTCAAATGCAGTCCCTCACACTAAGCATGCTTGTAGTGGAAGTGGAGAGGAATAACTCCCTTTTAACAGGAAGAAACCTCCAGCAGAACCAGGCTCAGTGTGAGCGGCCATCTGCTGAGGCCGACTGGGGTTCAAGGAGACAGAAGCAGAGAAACAAAAGGCAACTGTAAAAGGCGGCCCCGTCCAGGAAACACAGCCAGGCAAACGAGCTCCAAGCCAACTCCCATGTCAGAGGATTATGAGCATTTTTCCCCCCCTTTTTTTTGTTTAATCACCTATAAATCAGTCATGGTGACATTTAAGATAGTGATTCCACCTGAAAAAATATTCCTGTTCCTTTCCTTCATAGAAAGCCATTGTTTTTTCAATTTATAATTTGGGAGCTGTACTTGCTTTAATTCTCATATGTAATTTCAGTAAAAATGTCCTCCTAAGACCCTCAGGGCTTATAGGGTTAAAAGTTGTTTATGTTGTTAGCTAATTGGAGAGAAGCTAAGTATGCTAACATGCTTGTTTAATGGTTTTATACCTAGAGATGGACTGATAATTCATTAGTGTGTTTAGCAGCTGGGCCTTAAAATCACCCGAAGCTCATTCATTGCCTCCATTTGCTTTCCGCTGTAGTTTAGTTTAATTTATTAATGATTCTTTCTTTTCTTTAAATTGAGACCAATTAAAGTTGTTTTAATCACAGTGTCTTTTTTTATGCTGTAAATGTAGAAAGAAAAATCAGCAACAGCTTCAGGAATCAGCCCAAAAATATTAGCAGGACGAATCAGGGATTGTTGGACTGACGTTAAAAAAATCTGTACCTGCATTAGAAAACCTGGACTAGAATTAACTATCTCTAGTGATCTTAGATTAACAGCTGTCCATCCAGAACCAAGTCCTTCCAAAATATTAAGGTAGAATCCACTAAGGGTAAATGTTTGACATAGATTATAGGAACCAATGGGACTTTAGTTCAAAGCGGTATTTCTAATGTTAAAGTGTCATCACAGTGTGGACCAACACTCCCATGGCGGTGAGCTTTAGCCCCCCACCTGCTGAAGCCTGGTCTCTGCCTCCTGCCAGCATGCATAGATCATCTGCTCATTCAGGGCCAGCTCTAACTCAATCACCACCTTCCAGCTGAACTGGAACAAATGATAGCGTGGGAAATTACAGTCATTTGTCTCTGCCTTCCCACACCATCTCAGCTCGTCTTTCTTTCTTTTAAACAAAGGCACCTGCACCATCTTTACTTTGACACTTTTCACCTAATTCATATAGTTTAGGTCCTCAGAAATATCTTAGATTATTAGTATGCTGGGTCAATAATCTCAACCGCTCTTCTTACAGTTCTTTTTTACCTGCTAGAAAGATCTTGCGTCAATGCATGAACCGTCATGAAGCCAGATCTTCAGCCAGACATTTTCAGAAGAGTCTGTTTTCTACCTAAAGTCCTGGGGTTTATTTTAACTTCATAAACGGATCTTGGGTCATCAGTGTTCCTTCTCTTCCTGCCTCTCTAACAGCCTGTTTTACGTTTACTTAAATCAGCCTAGAAAGGCATTAGGAAGCTGAAAAGAAAACCTGACTACACCTCTAGTACAGCAGTTGGCAAACAAGAAGCCTAAAACTTCTGAAAAAAGAAAGCTTGACCCATATCTTAAAAAAACAAACAAAAAAAACATTTAGTAACAACAAAGTTAGAGGAAATTAAGTTTTAAGGGAATTGAAGAAAAAACTCAGCAGATTCAGTTTGACTTAAACAAACCCAAAATACCATAAAATATATACCAAGTTTCAGAACAAAGAAACACATTAAAGAATAATCAGATTCACACAATTCATACAAATGAAAATGACTCTTAATTAAAACACTTATCTCTTTAGCAGGGAAGATGGATGGAGATGAATACAGGCTGATCTTGGAAGAAAACCTGGGAGTCTGCACACTTACTGTTCCTTTAAAGATCCCCTTTATGAATTCTAATTGACCTGTTTCTCTCACCGGACATTGGTCACACTGACTGTTCACCATCAATTGGGATCACACTAGTCCAATACTTGGGTCCGATTGGGAAATGACTTTTTGCAGTAATTTCACCTCATGATTGAATGCTTTCCATATTACATAATCCAATGAATCTTTGCCAATAAATGGTTGGAATCCAATATTCGTAGCTTCTAAAATATTAATCTACTTAACTGTTCAATTTTCTGTCATTGTGTTTTCCTCAGACGGAGGTTATCAAGGGACCATGTGGCAGTGTGGGGATGACATTTAGGCACATTCCTGCCTGTGAAGGGGATGCAGTTTATGTCAGCATAGAGACAGTAATCCCCAACTCCCCCGCAGCCCTGGCTGACCTCCAGAGGGGTGATCGCCTGATTGCTATTGGAGGTATCGTGTTCAGGACACAAAACCACTTCCAGAGGGAAAAAATGTGCACTTTCATTTAATGTCCTAAAATGTTTACCTTTTTTTTTTTTTTTTTTTAAACAGGTGTCAAAGTAACATCTTCAGTTCAAGTACCAAAACTGTTGAAACAAGCAGGAGAAAGGGTGGTGGTTCTATATGAGAGACCGGTTCGTCATCAGGCCCCAACCTCGGGAGCACTACAAGAGGGATTGGGTCCGCTGGAGGAGCCAGGCTTCGTAGCACAGCCATCGGGATACGAGGAGGACCCGGCTCCAATTACTACTCTTTCTGACGTATCTGACAGCAAAGACATGGACTCTGAGTTCGAGGAGTTGCTCCTGGACTCCAAAGTCAGCCAGCCTAGTGGACCCAACATCAGTACCACTAATATTAGTGACACCAAGGAGGATTTTTTACTTGCTGTTAACCAAAGTCCTAAAAGAACCGTGGCGAATTTGGCATCCAAGCCACTCGGTACCATCTCGCCCATCCTAAACCGAAAGTTGAACCTTGTTGGTCTCCAGTCTCCATTGAAGCCCCAGCCCAAAGAATCAGCCAAAGCATCACCGCATAAAACTGGTATTGAACCTAGTGAGAGTCTGAATCGGCCAACTGTCCTTCCTCCCCCTCCTCCCTCACGGCCCCCGGTGCCACCGAGACCACAGATCAGATTGACATCGGCGTCCTCAGAAACCAGTCTTCTTGAAAGCGTTGATTCCATTTCAAATGCCGTTGTGATTCCTGCTCCTACAATGGTTGCCTCCGCCGGTATTTCTGAAAAATCTACAGAGAAGGTTCCAGTTTGTGGAGCCACTGAGGATAAGAGCGGCACGGATAAAACGTGTACGAAACAATCTGAAGGAAAACCGTTTACAAAGGCTGCAGAATCAAGCGACGAGACGCTCAGTTCTTACTCTGTTACCGGCAGCAAGGGAGATCAATCAAAAGACAAAGTTTCAGAAAGCTCCTTTAGTACAAGAGACAGTCTGGATGACCACTGCCTCTGGGAATCCCCAGAAACGATGTTTGGCAAACATACGGCACGCTGGTCCAAGGCCTCTGTGGTGTTTGATGTGGAGAGTAACCACAAGTATCTCAATGTGGCCCTTTGGTGCAAAGATCCCTTTAAGCTAGGCAGTTTGTTGTGTCTGGGCCATGCCAGCCTCCCATTGGAGCATATAGCTCTGGAATGTATGGCCACATCTTCCGCTGAGTACCAGAGCACCTTTAGGTTGGGGGCTCCTGAGCCGAAAGCAAATGTCAGCCGCACCGCACTACGCAACCTTAGTACCCACAAGGGTTTTAATGAGAAACTGTGTTACGGAGATGTTACCTTAAACTTCTGTTACTTGGCAGAGGGGGAGTTGGAGTATCCAGTAGGGTCAGTCGAACGGGAGCGAGAGGGCAGCCTCTATGATGAGGATCTGAGGGAGAGAGAACCTGTTCCCTCTGTGCCGCGTGACGACTTGGCTTATAGCCCCTTGCAGTCAACAGAAGTCCGTCACAACTTCCAGGACACCCAGTTCCAGAACCCTACCTGGTGTGAATACTGCAAAAAGAAGGTGTGGACTAAGGCGGCCTCGCAGTGTATCATTTGCTCCTATGTTTGCCATAAAAAGTGCCAGGATAAGTGCCTTGCTGAAAGTCCTCTCTGTGTGGCGACGGCCGAACGTCGTGGTGCCGACCCCGAAGCTAAGTCCACCATAAACCGGGCAACAGGGTTAACACGACACATAATCAATACCAGCTCGCGTCTGCTCAACCTCCGTCAGGCGCCCAAGACTCGACTTGAGCAGGTAACCGATGTGGTGCCTGGGACTGTGGAGCCTTCGCCCAAGCAAACCCCCAACACATCTGACAATGAGAGCAGCGATACGGAGACCTACACCAGCGGGGCGAGCCCGTCCAAACTGCCCCCCGGCAGCAGTAAACTGGTACGGAAAGAGGGTGGCTTGGATGACAGCGTCTTCATTGCTGTCAAGGAGATAGGCCGCGACCTGTACCGAGGCCTGCCCACAGATGAGCGCTCACAGAAGCTGGAGCTAATGTTGGACAAACTACAGCAAGAGATCGACCAGGAGCTGGAGCACAACAACTCTCTCATGAACGAGGAGAAGGAGACTACAGACACCCGGCGAAAGGCCCTGATCAGCACTGCCCTGGCCAAGTCGGGGGAGAGACTTCAGGCACTGACGCTTCTAATGATCCACTACCGGGCTGGCATTGAGGACTTGGAGTCGGTGGAGAGCATGTCTCCTTCAGAGCAGCAAGGCTTGAAGAGCAAAGCAGAGAGTCTGGAGGAAGAGGTCCTGATGGGACCGGAGGTGTACGACAGCGACACCTGCAGCCCTGTGGAAGTGCAGCTGCTGGATGACATCAGCGAGGAGCAAATCTGCGTGGAGGCGCTCCATTAGCGCGTTAAAATATTGCTTTGGACTCTTCAGCGAAATAATGTCCCATTAAGGACCGAGGACCTGTCCTAGTCCACCTTAAACACGCAGTTTAATGTCTTCTCATTTGCACCTTTTTGTTTGCATTTTATAAAAGTCAATGAAATGATGGTTTGGGGAACTTGTTCCTAATCTTTTTATTTGCACAGAATGACGCCGTTCTAAGATCAGGACGTATAAATCTCTGCTGTCCATGTTGCTCATCACCCCTATAATGTGCTGAGTGTTTGTCGTCCGTTTCTTTGGTTCTGGTTTTCATCTTCCTGCTTTGGTTGAAGGTTTTGCAGAATTTGCACTTTTTTTCTGAACATCTGGAACGACTGGTTCCCTGTGAGGAGTTAACCTTCAGAAACAGGCTAAATGACCTGAAATGTAAAACGTTTGTAAAAAGTCATCCTTGATTCTTGCTTTAAAGTTATTTCTATTGATAATTCTAAGAGTTTTTTTTTTGTTGTTGACATATTTATGTGTCTTTTCCTTTAAATACACTCAAATTTATTTTGTGAATTTGTCTTGTTTGCTCTTATTTCGATAGATAGAAATCCTTTGTGTTAACTTCAGAGCAGCTCTTCTTCTCCATCGTTATAAAAACAGATGCAAAGATAAAAATGCTTGTCGATGGTTCGTGTTTCCCGAATAAATGCTACAAATGAGCGCATGTTGAAGTTTTTCCAAGCTTAATAAAGACGTTACTTCAGTGTTTGAAAGTCAAAATACCTTCCTGTTATTTAAACACTTTTGCTTTAGGATACTTATACAGATGAATGTATATTGGTTTAGTGTGTTTGCTCTGTTTTAACATCAAACTGAGGACCTTCATCTGATCCTCACTTTTTCTCTGGTGGTAAGTTGAGGACTAAAGTGTGAACAGAATTCAGATTCAGATTAGGGTGAGGTAGTTACCAGGAATGTTTAGGTTTAAGGTTATCTTCAGGGTCAGAAAGATAAAAATAAATTATTAATAAAAAGATTGGTCCTCGCTACATGAGGAAAGAGCAGGGTGTGGGTTCCCAGAGTGTTTCTGAAGACCACAGATTATTGCAGAACTTCTGTATGCGGCATCACTTTGTAATTCATTCCATATTGCAGCTTACATGATGAATTTTATTCTCTAAATGTGGAGAATAACGTGCAGCCAATAAGATGCGTTTCCCTCTTGAAGAAGAACAACACAAAAAGGCAATAAGTTCAAGAAAAATAAACGAAAATCATTTTAAAACTTTATTTTAAGGTAGGAGAGTTGGATTTTTATGTTCTCACTCTTTAATAAATGACCATCTCACATGTCTATTTCTATAGATCATCGATTTGCAGATGATGCAGTGATTTTGATGTAAGGTAAATCAGTTTTTTTCCTTTTTGTTGTACGATCACATTGTTTTCTCTTATTTCCTCTTATTTGTAGAAAATTGACTTGGATTTACGAACATCGTCTAAACTGCAGGTTTATTTCAGCAGAGACTAAAAAGGCCATGAATGATAGTCGTCCTGCTCACTGCTTCGCCTCCTGCCTTCTGTGGAGTCAGATTTATTGAAAGGGTTTTAGTTGAAAATGAAGTTGATGATAAACCAAGGAGATTATGATCCAACACCCCCCATTGTGTTTGTTTTGCTCTTATTTACCATGTTTGAAAGGGTTTAGGAGGAAGACCTGTGATGAAGCTTTATTGTACAGAACAATAAAAACAATGAGTGAATTCCAACAATTTGCTTTGACTCTTTTTAATAAAACCCAGTTTTAAAGGGGAACGCCGTTTTTTTTGTTTGTTTTTTTTTTACATTAAGCCCTTGATTTTACGTTATGACATCATGTTCTACTCACTTATATGAGTTTTGTGTCATTTGGAGCTGTTCTGAAGATATTCTGTTATATCCAAGTAACGTCTTCCAATGGGTAATTGACTTGAAGGCACAAACTATTCGCTATCAAATGGTACCAGGGTGGATTCACCATCAAAAGGTACAGGGGTGGATTCACCATCAA